ATGACTAAAACATCGCCCATTATCGGCAAACTCGAACGACGAAACAGTTACTGTTACCACGGCTAAAGGCTGCCCACAAGGAGGTGTTCTTTTGCCCCTTCTGTGGACACTGGTGGTAGACAGCATCCTTACCAGATGAAGCAACACTAGGCTACGCAGATAATCTAGCGGTAATAATAAGAGGTAAGCATAAAGGCATAATAACAAGTCGAATGCCAAGTGCCATGAATATAATAAAAAACTGGAGTGAGGAAGAAGGACTTTCCAAAAATCCCAACAAAACGGTCTACGAAAAGAAGGAAGCTGGATCTGCGAGCCCCTACTCTAAACGGAAAACAATTACTTCTCTTGGATGAAGTTAGGTATTTAGGGGTCACCCTGGACAGCAAACTTACTTGGAACAATCATCTGAACAAAACAATATCCCGAGCTACAGCGACCATTTGGACATGCCGCAAACTCGTGGGATAAGACCAAAAATGGTATACTGGATTTACCAAACGGTTATCAGACTTATTGTCAGCTATGCCTCGTTGGTATGATGGCCTAAGACTGAGCAAATTACTGACTGCACAGAACAGTCTACGTAAAGTACAAGGGCTAATCTGTCTAGGAATAACAGGGGCTATGTCAACCTGCCCCACCACAGCCTTGGAGGCATTGCTGAACATGCCTGCTCTTTACCTATGTATATGTGAAAAAAGAGGCAAGAATAGACGCCTACAGGCTATTCTAGACTAAAAGATGTAAATGGCCATTTACGCATGCTTCAGGCTATAAGGCTAGAGTGCTAAAGTAAACCAACAGATCATATGATAACATCACTGGACTTTGACATTCCATGAAGTGGTTGTAAAAGAACGCCAATCATGGATGGACGCAAGCGGACAATGCATCATTGTGGTACACAGATGGTTGAAAGCTAACAAAGGAGTTGGACTGGGAATAAATGGACCAAATTATGAACTTTCCTCAGCAATGGGAAATACGCCCACAATATTTTAGGTTGAAGTACTGGTTATAAACATCTATGCCCAAGAGAGAACTTAACATGAACAGAAGAGACATTAGAACAGTCGTTGGTCTGCTTACTGGGCACTGCCTGGTGAAATATCACCTAAATACAATAGACAAAGCAGACAACGACCACTGTAGATTTTGCGAACAAGTAACAGAAACCACACAACATTTAATCTGTGAATGCCCTGCATACCTCCGCAAGAGACTGAAGTACCTTGAAGGGGTACGGCTAACACCCCAAGAGGTAGGCACCTTACCACCCAGAAAGCTGGCCTTTTTTGGGAGAACCCTACAAATCTTGGACACCAACTAGAAGCAAGGTCACGCACAAAATATCTGGAAAGGTAGCAGTGCTTGAGCGGCTGGAACTAGCCGTAACGACTCCATATGCAATCTACAATCTACAAGAGCTTCCTTTTGATAAAAATCAAAAAACTTTGAAGTTTCACAGTTATGAAACTTCTGAAACTGCATTAAAACTATTTATTGTATTTGAAGAGGGATTTCATTGGTTTTAATTCAAGCCTAATTACGTTGAGAACGGATTGAAATTGTGAGGCAAAATATATGTTTAATGGATTGATTTGAAATTTCGCGAGTAGATACTTAGATAGAGGGAAGATTGAAATTGCCTGCTTATCTTGGACAAAAATCAAAGTTTTGAGTTTTGTAAACTCTAATATACAACTCTTAAATTTAACCAGAAATGTATTTAGCTCGGGCCTTATAAATGTATATTTGAAAAAAGATACTTACTCAGTAGTATCCTTTTTAAAAACTCAAAAACTACTTGTATTTCAACTATGGCACTTATTAAAATATTATTTTTTTGAAAATCCATTTACATCTAGAAAACTTCAATTTACACAATAATTAAACAGTTTTTTGCGTGTATCGGAGGGTGATAATTACTAACATTAAATTTTGACGAGATAAATATCTTACAGAGGTTTGAATTTTTTAAAGCACAAATCTTATAAACTACGTTTTGTATACGAGGGGGCTTCAAAATACCCTGAATTAATACATTATATTATTCTCGGTGAAAAGCTCGTTGTATGTAATTTTTTTTTTTAAATGTATTAATTGCAGGGTTTATTTTTAACTACAATAATTTTTATCTAAATTGGTGCAAAATTTTTTATACATTTTTGCCTGATGTTGATTTTGTTCAAAAATGTGCAGTCAAGGGCTGATAATTATGGTATACATCTTCATTTTCCCAAAAGTCAAAATAAATGTAGCTAAGGCTTTAGTTATTGTAGGTCAAAGGTCACAGAAATCGGTTCCTATAGCTCCAAAGATAATAACACCTATTACAAAAGTTAGAGATAATGAAATTCTAAAGCACTTTTGTTTGAAACTTTTTTTCATAAAATAAACCGTTCTTGAGATAGAGCGCAAAGAGTGGTAAGCCCTATGCTCAAGCTTTTGCCCTATAAATTGAAGAGACCCAACGGTGAATTTTTGCGTACACGTTATTGTTATAGGTCTAAATAATAGGTGAAAGTTTCCCATCGATTCGGTGATTATTTGGGTTAAAGCTCAGAAATGTCTCGAAAATGATCAACTTCTTAAAAAAGTTATAGATCAATAAATTTGCTCCAAATTTGGTCCAAGGTACATTGCTCTACAATTATCCGTTTTTGAGATACAGGCGTTCTTGAGTCTACAGCTGGTTTTCCCCCATTTGGAGAATGGCCCTCATCTTTATTTAAAGTTTGCACTTTATCTCAAGAACGGTTCATTTTATAGGAAAAAGTTTCAAATAAAAGTGCTTAGGAATTTTATTTTCTCGAACTCTTGTAATAGGTGTTTATATCGTTGGAGCAATAGGAACCGAGATAATAGCAAAAAACCTTTGACCTGCAATAACTAAAGAAGCCTTGGCTGCATTTATTGTTACTATTAGATCGTCAAAATGAAGCTGTATACCAATTTTCTGCTTCTCACCTCAAAATTGGTAGTTGCAACCACAACGTGACTGGACTAGGAATGATTTAGATTTAATGTTCAACCAAAAGCCTTGAATATTTTTTCTTTTTTTTTTTTGAACAAAACCACAATAATGCAACAATTAAAATTACACCTAATTAAATTTTGCAAATATTTTTAAGAAGAAATATAAAAAACACTTATAGAGACAAGATAAAGATAGAGAGAGACCCTTTTAACTGGGATATATCACACATCACAAACTCCATAATAAGATATATCATAAGAAAAAAAAAAAAAACTTAACCACTCTTGAGTAAAACCTATTTACACGATGAGAAAACTTGCCCTTAGAATCTAAGCTAGAAGCTATCACGATTTTTTAAGTCTTGTAGCTCAAAAATCTTTTTGAATTGTTGGCCAACAAATTGTTGACCAAAAACTCAAAAAACCGTTGTCTGTTTCTTGTTACCTGTCTAAAAGTAATCGTATACGAAAAATTCTATAAAACAAAAAAGTCGTTTACACATTTAAATGCTAATTAATTATAACCGTAATTTTTGACGGGACCTAAAGTGGATTTATTATTTATTATTTACAATTAATTATTTCTCAGCTTAATTATTTGCCGAAAAGGTTGTTCGATTTTGCAAATCCAAATATAAGAAAAATTAACAATAACTTTAATAGTTTCCAGTAACAAAAAACCTTAATATTTATCTGTTGTATAGTTTATAATCTATTGCAGTGTACATGGTAAAAAGTGAGTTTCCAACACCACGGATTTGATTTGTATTTTGGGGTTGGAGGGCGGAAATTGTCCTGAAATTACCATTTCAGGTATCGGTTTTGCTAATAAAGGCCTGTAACTTAAAACATTTCAACAAACAAAACATTTTGATTATAAGGTACTTATTTATTCTATGTATATGCATTAATTATCACTATTTAGTATCGTTGAGGCACTGTTTTGTATATTGTAGTACATAAACATAAAAAGTTTTTTTTGGATATTTCCGCCCGAAGTCCCACCCCAAAAAATCTTCTTGAATAAAAGTATATCTTATTTAGGTGTATAAACCCTGTATAAAAAAGCTATAACTTATACAAGTTGTGTGTATATATAGAATATATATTTGTATAAAAAACGGCAAGTATAGAAGTTGAGTTTATTTTTCGGTACCATCACCACTTATTTATGGTTTTATTATTGTAAAAAAATTACCAACTATTTTGCTTGAAAAAGGACTCATTATATTGATGAGTCATTTTTCTTTCAAATATAAAGACACTGTGTAGAAGTAAATTGTGTTACTATTGTTTAACTTATTATAAAAATAGTTTCTGTTTCTATTGCACTTCGGGAACAACTTTTATAAAACGTAATTACTATTTTGTATATTGTGGATTTAACGTAGCTATATATTTGGGCTAAAATCATAAGAAATATAATATAAATAATAGGCCAGCAGGCAAGGGGGTAGCTGGAAAGTATTCCGAAGTTAATGATTGTTTGTTGGAGTGGAATCTAAGTTTTTGACCTCGAGGACCCTGTGCTAACTTGAGGGGAAGTCGTTGTCAGTTTTTTGCTTATAACTTCTAAACCATGCGTTTTCAGCAAAAAACATCTATTTATAAAGTTGAAGAAAATTAAATTTTCTTCAAACTCAGCTGGTCAAAAGTGTTCTTTGACGCAATAGTAACCGAGATACAGTGGCTCAAAAAATTTCTTCCCATCTGAACATAATTCAAAACAAGTGCACTTACAGTCTACTGTGCCCCTAAATTATTTTTTTCTCATATCCTATTTTATTAATAACTAGCTGTACCCTACGTGCTACGCCTCCCCGAAAACAATTCTTTTAAACTTACCCAAACTAACCCAAGCTTTACGCTTCAGATCTATTCCACAGAAATTGTGCATTCTTCCGGGATAAAATTTTTACAAAATACCCCACACGTGTCTACAAAAAGCTGGGACAACCTACACCCAACATAGATCAAGCCATGGAAATTATATTCAGTTTTCTCGAGGAAAACAGTGACGAGTGCCAGTTTTCCCTTGGAGAGTTGCTTGATAAGGTACCCGAAAATTTTCGTCCACACGTTAGGCGCCTGGAGAAGAACTATGAAAATTACATAATCATCTCTGGTTCACTCAACGTATGTTTCAATAACCCTGGCCACAGAATTTTGTTTGACAAGTGGTACCTGAACAAAAAAAAAAAACGGAGACCCTCAAGAAATCGAATTGTGAAAGCTGCATGTAAAACTGACTAATCGAGGTTAGTATATAGTGTATCCTGCTTAAGGACTGACCACAATTCTAACGCGGAAAATAATTCAGGTGCACAGTAGACATATATTGTCTGTTATGGATGCACGTGAAAGAGATGAGAGGATAAAATATGTTTATCCCATGCTCTGTTTGAATTGTGGACATTTTTGACAAGTTGTCTGTATCTTTGAATCACTATATCTCGATTATTATTGCATTAAATGAGACGTTTGACTAATGAAACTTGAAGGAAATTTAATGTTCTTCAACTTTATGGATTCCGCTAAAAACGCATGGTTTAAGAAATATAAGCAAAAAACTGAAAATTTCGTAGTTTTTCGACTTTCCCCAAGCCTAGCACAGGGTCCTCGAGGTCAAAAACTTAGATTTTACTCCACAGACTACCCACAAATGACGACCATAAGTCTCAAAACTAACATTTGAATAGAATTGAAATTAAAAATAGACTATCACCTCTTTGAAGAGCCTTTGCTCAACACTGGGCGGCAGATGAACTGGAGGATGAGAGAAACGGGTCGTAGAGATTTTGTGATTTAAATTTCCGGCGACAACCGGCGTTAACTGGCCTCCACACTCACTTGAATAAGCAAGAGGGAACCACCTCCCGGTTCTCCGTGGTTACTATTAGATAACCAATGGGCTTCTAGTAACAGAACCAACTTCGGAATACTTTCCAGCAGAAAGTACTTGCCGCCTGGACTACAATATCAGTTTGTTGGTTTGATTTTGGAGCTACGTCGTTTGAGGCACTGGCAATGAGAATTCTCGTAAAAGTTGTTCCCTTTTTTGTTATTTTAACATCTGTAGAGGTACTATTTGTAAAAATATGGAAGTTTCATTATTTGTTTCAAACCACATATAGTTACTTGGCATTTTTAAATTTGTTTTAAGTTAGAACCCGTCAAACAGTTCTACCTTAATTTAATTATTATTCTCTTTTTAATTTTTACATTTTTTTTTAAAAGAGAGAGATCACATTATCGTAACCCTAAATTACTACAACAATATTTATTATTTTTAGGGCTGGTTTATTCACCTTCTGATAAACTGTCAGGTATGCAATCTGTAAACCCATTAGTAGGCTAGTTACTCGCTAACCAATAGAATTATTTATCTTGCAGATAATTACCATCAACAAGTTTACCTGAAGATCAATAAACCGGGCCTTAATAATATGATTATTTTTTTTTAAATTTCATCTCTTGCTTTTTTTAAAATACTTTTCAAAGAGACAAAATGGAAAACAACAAACAAATAAGTTTCAAAAAAACACGTAACAAAATCGTACCCAGATTAGTATTGCCACCAAGTAAACACAGGATGAGATTATTTATTTATAGACAAATTTTGTCTTTATTTTTATCAGGAAATTAAATGACGGTTATTGATGATAATATAATGACAAACATAAAATATAGAATGCCATTTGGTATAAAAGTTGCCCCAGCCATTTTTCAACAAGTTATGGATACCATGTTATCAGGTTTGAAAGGAACCACGACATTTTAGTATCAGGCTAATCGAGGAAGAACATTTTCAAAATTTAAATCTTGTTCTAAGGCGTATAGAAGAGTTTGGTTTTCACTTAAAATTGTAAATTTGGAGTCAAAGAAATTAAGTATTTTGGATATATTTTAAGTGAAGGTGAGTTGAAACCAAATCAGTAAAAACTGAAGCCACCGCCCCATGATATCAATACTCTACGTTCTTATCTTGGAGCAATAAGCTATTATGGAAAATTTATCAAAGAAATACACGTGTTACGTCAACCACTAAACAAATTATTGGAAAAAGGAATCAAATTTTTATGGACAACAGATAAGAGATACAGTCAAATAGAGAAGGAGGCATTGGCTGGCTGGAATATACAATATTTGCTGTCCAACCCTCTATGAGAATCATTATATCAACCCCAAAGATCATTTGCCCATAACCATGCCACCATACCGTATGACGCCTCAAAAAAATCTTTACTTAAAGAATCGATAATCGAAGAATGGAAAGTCCATGGGCCGCACCTGCGTTAGTACCCAAGAAGACAGGTGAGGTGCGCCTGTGCATTGACTATCAAAAACTGTCACTATGACTGATTATTATCCACTTCCGCTCGTGACAAAACTGCTTTTGTGACATATCGTTACACACGCATACCGTTTGTCCTTGAAAATGCGCCAACGACTTTCCAACTTTTCTTTTATAACTAGAGGAGAATGTATTTTGAGGGGATAAACTGGAGGTGTTGAGCGACATATAATTCTGTTCACTCTAATGTCTTTTACGTTTGTCATTATATTATTATCAATCTATAGTCAATAGGACTTTTGATTGTTGGAATCTCAAAATGGCCCCTCGTCATTTGATTTCTTAAAAAAAATAAATTCGAGTACAACGTCTCAATGTATATACCTAAAAAACCAACCTTTTTTTTTGTTTAAATAACAGCACCATTTGTTTCACCTTTTACGGGGTAACATTTTCTCCCCCAATAAAAAAAATCCTATCAGATAAAAAATAAATACAAAACTTACATCGCTATACAAAAAACAAAAGTCCTTTATAAACATCTTTTTTACCATCATTTTAGCCGAATTCCGTTTTTTTGATTTCTTCAACAATAATAGGCTGACAACTCAATTTTATCCGATACAAGGAGGTCCCAGTTGCCAGCCGGCCGTTAGTCACTGGGTCGGCAACCCGTTGGCGGCTTTGAATTCCGGATTTACGGCGGCTTGAAATTGGGCGACGCTCGTCGGCGGATTGAAACTCGGATAACATTGGGGGAAGTACAGCTCCGGTTTGACGACGCCCGTAGGCGTCAGACCTCTTGACAACATACCTGGAAACCCTAAAATTTGGATGTAAAAATATTGGTTTTGGGCAAAGTTGGATAGTTACCGTTTGTATGTAGTTTGCCATCGGAACTAGTCGAGTCTCGGCGGGTTTTGGCCGCGTGCGGGTTCATGTGGTTGTCTATGTGCTTTTTCACTTCCGGTTCGGTCGCGAATCTTCGCCGGCAATTGGGCATCGGGCAACAGAATGGTCGGTCGCCTTGGTGCGTCCTCGTGTGCTGGTCCAATATTGCTTTTTGCCTGGAGAATAATTTAAACGGTGTTATTGATGGCAGAGATAAATTCGATGAGGACATCTAGAGACAGGCAGAAAATGGGAAAATATCTAGAGAGAAACTTATGACATATACATGAACCAAGGAACTGCCCTGTTTTTGGCAGAAGATGTAACAAGTGGAAAAGATATAAACATTCTAGTTACTTTGAGATTGAAGAAAATGAAGATTGAGTTGAAGAGTTATCAATCATGGTTGAATGATATTACGCAAAAGAATGGGTGGTCAGAGAAGGTGACAACGTCACATCTTATAACTACAATTTATACAAACTATAAACTCCGTTACTGAATTAAGTGTTAAGTTTTCCAAGATTAAAAAGAATATGAAACTTGGATTGCCCTATTACATAAATGAATGTTCAGAACAATACAATTCAGGCAAAGACAGATATATTATATTATTACATTAAATGATCGATTTATAACAGAAATCTAGTGGTGGCGCTTGGATGCACTGGACCCCTAAGCAAATATCACAATTAGGCCTCCGTAGGTTTAATTATACAAAATGGCAATATAAATGTGACACTTGTAAAGCAAAATTCAAACGAAAAGGCAAAATGAATGTGACACTTACAAAGTAAAATTTAAACAATTTCTACTTGGTAAACCTCAAACTTTTTCTTGCCTTAATCAAGTACCAAGTAAAATTTCCGTTTGTTAGATCATTTTTCCAAGGGTGATCAAGAGCCGGTAATAATCAAAATATGAACTATCATAAATAGTAACACAATTTAAACAAAATGGCAATATGAATGTGACACTTGTAAAGCAAAATTCAAACGAAAAGGCAAAATGAATGTGACACTTACAAAGTAAAATTTAAATAATTTCTACTTGGTAAATCTCAAACTTCTTCTTGCCCTAATTAAGTACCAAGTAAAATTTCCATTTGTTACATCATTTTTCCAAGGGTGATCAAGAGCCGGTAATAATCAAAATATGAACCATCATAAGTAGTAACACAATTTGAAACTTGTAAACTTTAAACGAAAAAGCAATATGAATGTGACACTTGCAAACCAAACTTTCTACTTGGTAAATCTCAAACATCTTCTTGCCCTAATCAAGTACCAAGTAAAATTTCCATTTGTTACATTATTTTTCTAAGGGTGATCAAGAACCGGTAATAATCAAAATATAAACTATCATAAGTAGTGACACAATTTAAACAAAAATGCAATATGAATGTGATGTGACACTTGCAAAGCAAAATTCAAACGAAAAAAACAATATGATTGTGACACTTGCAAAGTAAAATTTAAACAATTTCTACTTGGTAAATCTCAAACTTCTGCTTGCCTTAATCAAGTACTAAGTAAAATTTCCATTTGTTAGATCATTTTTCCAAGGGTGATCAAGAACCGGTAATAATCAAAATATGAACTATCATAAGTAGTACCACAATTTAAACAAAATGGCAATATGAATGTAACACTTGTAAAGCAAAATTCAAACGAAAAGGCAATATGAATGTGACACTTGCGAAGCAAAATTCAAACGAAAAGGCAAAATGAATGTGACACTTACAAAGTAAAATTTAAATAATTTCTACTTGGTAAATCTCAAACTTCTTCTTGCCCTAATCAAGTACCAAGTAAAATTTCCATTTGTTACATCATTTTTCCAAGGGTGATCAAGAGCCGGTAATAATCAAAATATGAACTATCATAAGTAGTAACACAATTTAAACAAAATGGCAATATGAATGTGATACTTGTAAAGCAAAATTCAAACGAAAAGGCAAAATGAATGTGACACTTACAAAGTAAATCTTAAACAATTTCTACTTGGTAAATCTCAAACTACTTCTTCTTGCCCTAATCAACTACCAAGTAAAATTTCCATTTGTTACATCATTTTTCCAAGGGTGATCAGGAGCCGGTAATAATCAAAATATGAACCATCATAAGTAGTAACACAATTTGAACAAAATGCCAACATGAATGTGACACTTGTAAACTTTAAACGAAAAAGCAATATGAATGTGACACTTGCAAAGCAAATTTTCTACTTGGTAAATCTCAAACATCTTCTTGCCCTAATCAAGTACCAAGTTAAATTTCCATTTGTTACATTATTTTTCTAAGGGTGATCAAGAGCCGGTAATAATCAAAATATGAACCATCATAAGTAGTAACACAATTTGAACAAAATGCCAATATGAATGTGACACTTGTAAACTTTAAACGAAAAAGCAATATGAATGTGACACTTGCAAAGCAAACTTTCTACATACTTGGTAAATCTCAAACATCTTCTTGCCCTAATCAAATACCAAGTTAAATTTCCATTTGTTACATTATTTTTCAAAGGGTGATCAAGAGCCGGTAATAATCAAAATATGAACACATAAGTAGTAACGCAATTTGACGGCAAATTGTTCAACTAAAATGACTGCCCTTAGGACAATTCTCTAGGGAATCCAGAGTTGGTAAAAGTTAAAATTTTTAAGCTTCCATTATGCTGATGGGCACTTTGAGTATTTACGGATGCTGTTCGGCTTAGCCAACGCTCCGGCTGTTTTCCAAAGTGCCATAAATAAGGCATTGGGTGATTTCAAGGATAATGTGGCCTTATACTCTACCTGGACTACATCTTAGTACCCTCTGAATCTATTGAGGATGCATTCCATTTTCTTGAATTGGTTTTTGAAGCGTTGCAAAATGGCGGATTTTCTCTAAATTTGAAAAAATGCCGCTTCTTCCCGGACAAACTGGACTACTTAGGACGAGAAATATCGGCTGATGCTATTCGTCCTGGCACTCGTAAAGTAAAAATAATTATCTAAAACATGTAGTACCGATGGTTCCTCTAACAAATGAAGAAGCATTTCAATTTAAAAATAGTATTATTTGCAGTATTTTTAAGGAAAAATTCAATCCTTTAGATGAAAAAGTAACGAATTATGATCATTTAACTAGAAAATACCGAGGTGTAACACATATTTGTAATTTCAACTACAAGCTCCCCAGTTTCATTCCTGTCTTTCCATAATCTAACAGGACATGATAGCCATCTATTCATCAAACAACTTTATTGTGAAAATAATAAAATTGATATTCTTGCACAAACTGAAGAAAAATAAATTTAATTCACATAATATACACGAGGTCTTCACCACGTCAACCGCCTCTAAGCTCAAATCTCTCTGTAATTAAAATCTAGTGGCAACTTTTATAAACAATAAGAAACCTAATGAAGAATATCGGAAGTTTTTACCTGAAATCTTTCCCACACTGCGCACACTTGTAAGGCTTCTCACCCGTATGGATGCGTAAGTGCTGATTCAGAATGGTCCGTTGCCGGAAGTTGCGCCCGCAATAAACGCATCCATACGGTTTCTCGTTGGTGTGTATCCTCAAGTGTTGCGTCAAGTGACTTTGTTGCCGGAACCGTTTGCCGCACTCCGGACACGGATACGGCCTGCTCTCGATATGTATACAGCCGTGCTGCAACAGCGTACTTTTCTGCTTGAACTCTTTCTGACAGATCGGACAACGGACGTACAACGGCATCCCGGCTGACCGGCCGTGCTGTATGACGTCGGGCAAACCGTTTTTTCCGCTCGCCTGGCCCGGTTTGAGGTACTGGAGAGGGTTGAAGTTTGTGCCCGGACCGAAAACCGAATGGTTCGTGCCTTTGGCGTCTTTGAAGTAAGCGGGGTATTGGAGATTGCCGACGACTCCGTTTGGGGAGAAACAGTTTATTCGGTCGCCGTTTGGTCCGTTTTCGCCGTCTCCGTAGGTTGAGGCTACTTCTTCTTTGCCTTCTTCAGGTGGGAAAGGTACGTCTTGCGGCCAGAGAGTTGGATTTATGCCGTTTTTGAATACCAAATGAGGACTGACGTCTGTAAAATAATACATTATGTTATGAGTAGTCATTTCGTAAATAGGAAACTACTCATTTTTCCTGATGGAGCCTAAAAACTATAGGACATGCAAATGTTTTAGGAAGTTTATTGTTGTCTGATCTCATACAGTCTTTAGATAGCTAGAGAATCAAGCTTCATTTACAACTCTTAGGGCGGTCTTACACCAATGAAACATCAAACATACAACTTGCGACATGAAGTAAATAGCGCGGGTAGACTTGTGCTGCATATGTCCATTGTAAAAACGTATAATGTCTCGGGATAATCGTACATCGGTGCAGAACATCGGTGTACGATGATCCTGAGACATTGTACGTTTTGACATTGGATATCTGCGGTATTTACTTCATGTCACAAGTTGCAAGTTGCATGTTTGATGTTTTCTTCATTTGGACTAATAGTGTTGTGTAAATATATACAGTTTCAGTTAATTGCGGTGCGAAACAATATTTACATTGTTATCCCAAATGGTTAGTAAAATATGCCACAAGCAATTTAATGAATGGACAAAGTGATTTTTAGTTGAATTCATGAACTTTCATTTGAAGTTTATAAATCCAACTTGTGTGGAAAACAAGCAGCAGACCACTCCAACCGCCCGCGTCCACATCAATTTTTCAATATAATTTGACTTTAAGTGTGCTAAGGCTGCAAGAGTGGCCGCCGCCCATAGTTATAATTCAAAATTGGGGCATAGCTCGCCTTGGTGTGTGCGGACGTGCTGGTTGAGAATAGCCTTCTGCCGAAAGTGTTTCCCGCATTCCGGACATTCGTACGGCTTCTCACCCGAGTGGATGCGCAAATGCTGATTGAGGATGGCGCGTTGCCGGAAGGTGCGCTCGCAATAGACGCACGCGTACGGTTTCTCGTTGGCGTGGATGCGCAGGTGCTGCGTCAGGTGACTTTGTTGCCGGAAACGTTTGCCGCACTCCGGACATCCGTACGGTCTACTGTCGGTATGGATTCTTTCGTGCTATAAAACAAAATCGATTTAGTAGTCAACAACAAAGAAATCTTATTTATATTTACTTGTAGTAGAGTGCTTTTTTGCTTAAAATCTTTGCCGCACGTTAAACACTTAAAAAGCCTCAATTCTCCATTTAATCCGTTGCTCGATTTTTTCAAATTGGCTTGCTGTTGCTGTATCACATCCGGCAACGAAGCGCTGCGCAGGTCTTGCATATTGGAAGTGTACTGGTCTAATTGGCCGCCTAAAAACAAACAACTATTTATAATAATACTACAAAAACACACAAACATGTCCACCTTTAACCAAAAAACGTAATACTAACATAAATACTGAAAATTACCTCCATCAGGTCCCAAACTAGTAAGCATCATGCCTGGCTGTTTCAAATATTGCAGCGCCGAAAAATTGGCGCCGAGCATGTGCGGCGGGACTCCGGGTACGGCAGGAGGCGGCGCCGCAGGTGGAGGTGCGCGCGCATATTGCTGATAGGCTTGCTGTTGCTGATGCGCGACTTGTTGCTGCGCAGTTTGTTGCTGGAGATCGGTTGGAAAGCACTGTTGCGACGCAGGTCTCGGTTCCAGGTCCATTGTGGAAGGTTCGCCCGGTTGTATTGGGTCCGTGTCGTCGCGGCCTTGTTCTGCTTGCGTGGCTGGATACGGTGACGGAGCGGGGGACGGCAGACTCTACAATGTGAAGTTATTGAGTAAAAGATTGCCTAAACAAAGAAAAATTCAAGGCATCTAGTCATAGCTAGGAAAGGAACTATACTTTGTTTAAACAACATACAAGACTTGAGTTAACTTGCTCAACAATTTCGAGAAAATTCATATAGTAACTTTATAAATGGTACATGTTAGTTTGCTAACATGCTAATTTTGAACAATTCTTACACTGACTTGATCCCTCGTAGGTACGGTATCAGCCTCGACCCCCAAAGGTGGTACCGGCGTCGGTCCCAAAGCCTGATGAGGCGGACTGGCGGCACCTTGTGGGGTCGGCTGTTGCTGAGGCGGCGGATAAATGTCCTGAGGTCCCCATTGTGTTTGCGCCCTGTCCATTCCATCTTTGTACAGGACGTACGGTGCCGCTGTATCTGTAACACAAACGTAATAAATAATTATTATTAGCAAAAAAACATTGATATTTTATCTGGGACGCATTAGATTGTGACTGGTATGAAAAAAATTATTGTAATTATTAATGCATTTCCAATTAGACTGTGGTTCGATTAATAAGCCATGAAAGTTTTGCCGCTTCATTTGCGTCCGGATTTTTTTTTAAAAAAAGGGTTTTTTTTTGGTGAAAGCTTAGTAGAGTGACCGAACAGGAAACGATTAACGTGTGATAAAAGGGAGAATTTGCATTCTATTTTGATTGCGTTTATATTTCAAAATGATGAGAGACGAGGGATAAACCACCTTGGAACATAATATGTACCCTAGAATCCCACTTCTAACGGAATCCTACTAGAATCTTAATGAAATCCTACACAAAATCTGAAAAAATCTACTACTTTTAATGATTATAGTGGCTTGAAACCGAGGGGTGGTTAACTCCTTACAATATGTACACAGATTTTAAATCTTTATTGATTTTGTAGGATTTTGAGGATTTTTAAAATCTTCACACAATCTAACAGGATTATAAAAGAATTTAAATTTTCAAAATTTTAGGTGATTTTGGAGCATCTTAAGGAATTTTGAGAAGTCCTAAGAGATCCTAAAGGGTTGTTAGAGATTTTAGCGGCTTTTTGGGAATCACAAAGGATTTTGAGGATGAAAATCTTCACACGATTTACAGGAGTTTGGAGCATTTTAGGGAATTTTTATTTAGGAACAAATAAAACATAGAAATCACAGAATTTTGTCTTCTTTTCTCATCACAAAGTCTTTGGTATTTAAATTTCACTCACTATGAGATGTAGAAAAATTTAGTTCATCCAATTTTTAAGTAATTACGCATTTTTAGTCAACAACAATACCAAAAAATTGAAAAGACAACATACAAATTTCACTTGTAAAAGGGTATCTAAACATCTGGCAACACAGAACAATAAAGAATAGGTGGTTGAAGGTTGAACCTTGGTGGAGCTGAATAAATTGATTTGTATTATCTAGTTGGGAAACGCGCGTAATTCAAATTCATTCTTTTTTATAAATAAAATGTTTAGAAACATCGAATATGCAGATACTTTTTCAGGCAGAAACGTTGCAAAATGCTCATTTAGCCGCCAAAATTTACAAAGAAACTAGTAAAAGATTTCCCAAAAGAAAAGCACCCACCTGATGAGAGAACATTGTGCCCGTTTTACAAAGATTGCGTGATACTGGAAGTGTGAATCTGCGTGTTGATTTTAGTGTTTTGAGAACCTTTTAACAAAAAATAATATTTTAATAATAAGGATTTGACAAGTAGCTGAGTAAGTATTATTTGATTTTTCTCTTAAATGTTTAGTGCAAAAATGTCATTGAGTGCAATTCACAACTTAATAAAACGGCACATTTTTTATTTTCACTAGAAAAGTGATAAAAATGCAAGTTCTTATTTACATTATTTGAAAGCCAATAACAAACCAAAACGTAAACAGATGGAAATAAATAAGCTCCTTGCAAAAAAAATAATAATTTTACCAGTTTTATTTACATTTATATCCTGGCAGCGATAATACCTGTACAATGTTGTCACGTTAACATTTTTCTTAATTTAAATAGTTCGATAATTCCGAAAATACTAACAATTGACCCATGGTTAATAGGACAATGGACCATATTATCTCATGTTAAAATATTTGTAGTCATACCAGATACACCCTGTATACATTACCAACAATATTTTACACAAAATTATAAAAATTTGAACTGGCACTATATCACAATGTATTTAATGCTAAATACTTTAAAGGTATGCCAAATCTCATGTTAGTATCACAAACTGAACGATTGTTGTGGCTAGCAACAAGACTAGAGGGTGGAAATGTTCATATTTTCATTGAACCCATTTTTTTCATGGATCGCGATAATTAATTTACCCCTTTAAACCACCCTCAAAGTAATTTGCAAGTCAAGTGAAGTTCCCCAAACGGTGTATATTGGTACTGCCTATAAGTTCCAGTACCATTTGTACCTGAGACTAGGGTGAAAATGTCCATATTTTCACAACAACAAATTTTTTGATCAATCGCAATTATTAGTTTTACCCCCTAAAATCATCCTCAAAGTTATTTGCAAGTCTTTTTAGGCACCCTAGGTGGTGTATATTGGTACTGCTTATAACTTGCAGTACCATTTGCGCCCGAGACTACATTTGTACCTGACACTTGGGTGGAAATCTCTATAATTTCTCGAAAACCCTTTTTTCGATGATTCGCAATTATTATAGTCTAGGAGGCAGTGACGATTTTTGGTACTTATTTTCCCAGTCAGAAAACCCCTCGACCCCTCTTTCCATTTGAAATTTTGGGGATACCTGTTCCCAGATAGGGGATGAAAATACCAATAAAATGTGTCCCCCAAAAAACAAAAATTGACATGTCTGAGCGATTTTTGATTAAACACCTAAAACCTGAGAAACTCTGGGTGGAAAGTTTTTCGTGCCCCACCCTGTATAAGGAAAAATTAAATTCTCAAAAATACACGGAAATCCTGCAAACTACGGTTAGTGACTTTTTAGACGACCTACCATTGCAGCAGTACCGTACCTGTTGAAAAAAGTTAGCTGGTGCTTACGCGCACTGCTCAGAAGAGTGACACATGAACTTTATGAAATCTTCAGTCCATGAAATTGGCCACCAAGATCACCTGACCTTACCCTTCTTGACTTTTATTTATGGGGTACAGTTGAAGATAAAGTTTATCGAACACCTGTAAACACAAGAGAGGATTCAGAACCAGGCGTTTCAAGAGTTGGCCCCGATAGAGATTCAGAAAGCCACAACCAGTGGTGTAAGGACCAGTATTGTGAAGTGTCTGAATGTATATGGAACGTAATTTGAACACCTGTTGTAGTACCTACTTATTGTATTTTATCTTTATTTTTTAAATAACATTCCAATAATGCTTGCTTCTTAAATATTTCAAAATAAATTTATTTCTAATTGTAAAAATAGTCCATTTTCTCACAGTGGAGCTTGATATAATACCAATTGGCTATTTTGGATTTTCTCAAAAATACAGGGAATGTCAAAAATAAACTCGTGTTCAGTCCGCGTCGGATGATCCTGTACATTACAAAAAGAAAACTTCAGTCTTCTCCACCAATTTTTATTTGTTTTTTTGTTAGAAAACTACTAAGACATGTTTCAGGATTATAAGAATCCCATCATTAGCTGAAACAATTACAAAGGAGAATATCACTAAATATTGTGTAGGTACATAGATTTCAACTTATAAACTTTACACAGAAATTATTCCGAAACACACTGTACATACATTCGTCAAGAGTTAAAATGTCCCATTCATATGAGGAGAAAATCGGAAGGTATGGAGTGAAGTAAAACCCCAATTTTAACAAACAGGACCTTAATTTAAGAAGCTCACATCCGAGTTTGCATTGATTATATCCATTGTTATCTTTGGACCATTATCTTCGTTCACTTCATTCATCTTCACTTCATTCATCTTTACTTCATTCATCTTCATTTCAACTATCTCTTGACATACCTCTACTCTTATTAGTTTTTCATGTTCATCTAGTTTTATTTCTCTGCTTGTGATATCCATAATCGGTAGGTACCTATCTTAAGTTGTCTATGATCATCTAAATGAATTACGCATCTAGGAATGCATCTTTCATAAAAATTTTGATATTCTACAAATAAGTCTTAATTTTTGTTATTTTCTGCCTATAGACTGTAATGTAACCAATATAGTTCGATGGTATTACGCATGAGGTTTTGGCCCATAAGCTCATTTTAATGGTATTACCAGTTTGGCGTGGTGCCTTAGCTGCCTCATTACTCAATGTCTGTGGTGCCTGGTTCTGCTTCTCGTTTGTTTTCTGATCATTATTCTTGTTTTCCTTGTTCAAGTTAGTTCTATCGAAGTTACCTCTATGAAGGCCAGTAAACCGCTGCTGACGCCTACTTTCAATGTCTGCGTAGCTGTGCAAGTCTTGAAATACTGCATCTGTGCTAGGATGCCTTTTTGCCCACATTGCATGGCACATTGATCGAGAATGCAACCCAATAAGTACTTGCTCTTTCTCATGAAAATATGAATTTAAACTTTCATTTTTGCCCAAAACTCTGCTCTCCATTTCCTCAAATTTCTGTAACAAATTTTCTTTAGGCGAAAATGTAGCATTGAACTTTTCTACAAAATCTTAACATTTCTGGGAACACAGAAAGACCTTGTGTGTGTTTGGGAGCTATAGGACGATCAGCTGGCTGTGCAGTTGCTGCCCCACTGTTCGTAATCATCTGATTTGCCAATCTTTCATCTCTACGTTTGTTTTCTATCATTATGTTCCGAAAAATCTCATTCAAATCAACAATTTCTACCTGTGTATCATCTGCGTTTCTAGTACTTGAGTTTTTGCGTGTTCTTGTTGGAGTACCACCACTGAAACCGTCTTTGGAATCATGAAAATCGTCTCTTTCTTCGTCATTCATTTTACGTCACTTTAAGTTCGCTTTTCGTCTAAACTTCACAAATAAAATAACTTCGCGTCTTCATTTCTGTATGTACAATCTCACGTAAATGTATTGTACTCTAGGGTATAGTGTCTTAAAATCGATTTCAAAGATTGACTCCCAACAAAAATTGCATTTGAAGCTGGAACTTTGAGAAAATTGAGTTTAAAGTTTTTGACTAAATTTCGACCAAAATTCAACATTGAGGCTCAATTGCTCTAAAAGTATTGAAGCTATTAAACTCAATTTAACCTAGATATATAGAAGATATTGATTATTCCCTAATAAAAAAAAATCGAAGATACGCTCCTGGCCCATAGGCTCAATGTAAACGATGTCTAAAAATCTGCATCTCGTCCTCCTCCTCCTCCTCCTTGTCCCGACTGCGAGAGCAGTTGCTGAACTCTTGGTGTGGTCGAATATATAAAATAAAATCCGTGCACCAGCTTTGGCCAAAGAGTGTC